AAACGAAGAATACGAAATTTTTTGCAAAAATTCTCAAATCAAACTGAAATAGTAACAAAATTGTAAATAGAAAGTAAAAAAGGCTCAATCAAAAGAGACGTGTGCCGACGAATAGCAGCAAAGTAACTGCATAGAAAAAATAACATAAAAAATAATGATAGATATCAATAAAATAAGAAATAATTTTGAAAAATTCCCATCACTCAAGCAAAAATGTGGTGACCATGCAGCTGTATTAGTACAGCAACAACAAAAACGTCAGCACATCAACTCAAATTCCAACTCAAATAAAAACGCCCATAAAATAACAGCAACCGCAACGCCAACAGAACCAAAAACAGCCGCCGTCAAAACCCTAAAGACAACAATTGCGGCCTCCAAACCAACAAACACAAATACGTCTGTTGTGAACGGCAAATCAGAAGCGACACGGAGGTCGCCCATTGCTGTTGGCAGGCGTGCGGCGTCGGCCAGCAGCACGCGCAACACCAAAGCTGCTAATAATAGCAGTAACACAACAAACAATAACCTCAACAACGACACAAATCCCGTGCGCACCGCTAATAAGCCATTCTTTTTGGTGCCACAATTTCAAGATCAAAACTTCTTAAAGGAGGAATGTGAATTGGCGCATGCGCAGGTCGCAGTACCGGGCGCAGAGAAGCGGCAATCAAAATCAGCTAGTGTGTCGATCGATGGGCATGTGGGTGAGTTAAATAACAACAAGAACATCATCAGCAACGCAACTAATCTCAAGAGCAGCAGCAACGGTTGCCGAAACAGCTGCGACGGCGGCAAAGGCAACAACAATAACAAAACTAGTCACTCTTACGCTATTAACGGTATTATCGGTGGCAAAAGGCGTCCCACAACTGCACCACATCCATCAGCGGCAACAGTGGCGGCGGTAACAGCTAATGGGATGCGACGCAGCGGTGGCGGCAGCGCCAACGCAAGCGTCAACATTAGTCAACATCATCACCACCAACACATCAGTTCAGCAGCTGCAGCAGCGACAACTCCTGCAACGACAACGACGGCGGCCGCGGTAGCAGAGACACAGAACGGCGCTTCAACCAAGAGCGCCACAACTGATTCCTCCGTCCATAAAGTCGACATTGTCTTCAATAATCGGCTGCCGAGCCAACAAACCAACGGTGGTCGTATTGTCGTCGCTTCCAAGAGTCCGAAACAGCCACAGCAACATATGTTCAACAGTTCACGTCCGCTCACAGGCACATCAACAAACGCCACAAAAACTATTGGCACGCCGACAAGCACAAGCGTAAGTGGTGGCGCGTCAACATCAACAGTGGTGACGACTAAGGTGACTAACGGTCCGATCAAATTGGTGCGTCCGCTGGTGCATCGCAGCATTCCATCGACAGCTGTGGCGTCTGCTAACGCCACGGCAACGCGCGACAACGTCAACGCATACTCTAATAAGCTGTTCAACAGCTACGGCAGCAATAGCAGTCGATTTAGCAATAACAACAACAATAATAATAATAGCGCTAGCGTCGTTGGTAATGTCATAAGCGGCGGCAACAGCGGTGGTTGCAATAATAATATCTCTAGCAATAAAACTGACGGCAGCAGTGGCGCTGGCGCTATCGGTGTCAACGGCATGCAGCACACGCTCGAACACGACGATATCAAGTATATAGACAGCGATGACGCGCCGACAACGTTGGCGCAGGCACCCACAGCCGCAGCCGCTGCTGCTGCTGCTGCACCCACCACATCCTCAAGCGGCGGTGGCGCGCAGTTGGAGCGGAAAACACAGTTGCGGTGCGAGCAGGTGTGTTGTCAGCATACCAACAGCGCGACGCCTGCAAGTACTGGCGGTGGCAGCGGCGGTAGCGATAGCGCGCCATTCAAGACGCGCATGCGCCCCAAATCGACGATCATCTGCTCCACTAGCAATCTCGTCTTTGAGAAAATCAACAACTACAAGTACGCCAATGGCAGCGCAAGCGGCGGCGGCAGTAGCGCGGCCAAGTTTGCCGCCGAAGCAGCTGCAGCGCGCCGTCATGAGCTGCGCCACAGTATCGATTCGAATAGCATCAGAGCCTCGATTCAGAAATTTGATAGTTTTAGCGAGCAAAAGCGCAGCGGGGTTGCTCAGGTGACACTGCGCTCACACGGCGGCAGCGGTAGCACAAGCAACCTGCAACATCATCGCCATAGCGGCAGCGAGTTCGACCATGCCACCGGTAACAGCAGTTTGTTGCGACTGGCGCAAAGCGGCGGTGGTTCGTTGACGCGCGCGCCCTACCGCACGGCATCACCCTCACCAGCAACTGCTTGTAAAGTAACTGCCACCATGCATGGAACGACATTGGCGGCCTGTTCAACTGGGTCCTCCTCATCATCTATACGCACTATGTCCAGCAGCAGCGCTACTAGTAGCACTAATAGTTTGCCTACCAAAAGCGCGGGGAGCATTGTTGCTGCTTCAACTACAGCGGCCGCTGTCTCCGCCAATCGCCATCCAGAAGTGTCGCTATTGCGTACATCGGAGAGCGCTGCCCATACTGCACTCTTGCAAATCAAAGATGTTGCGGGAGTGGGGTCAAAGAAGGTGGAAACGAAAATGATGAATGGCGATGTAAAGAAATGCGCGAAGGCGGAGACGAACGGTTTGTGCAACGGCGCCGCCGGAGATGTAGATAGTGTAAGTGCACTCATCAACTCTGCAAAAAAATACCTACAAATATAATAAATAGTCAGTCACCAAACAAAACCGTTCATTGCCAACACTTTCATCACTTCCCCAACAACCTACTCGAATAGCATCAAAACAAAATCAGCACAATTGATCGATCATTCCTTAGTCATGCTGCGACAGCGAGTCTATTCTTTGGCTCATTAGCTCGACAGTTACTTAATTCTTTAGTTAGTTACTTTTAGGGCTTAATTTTGTTTTTTTCACGTTGCGTCGTTGGATTTTATTTTTACTTACTTACTTACTCTATATTTCCACTTCATTATCATTCACCAACTTCGCGTCGAAGCACGGCAAGAAAATGTTAAACAATTTGGAATCTGGTTTATTTTTTAATTTATTATTACACTACTTTTTATTATACACCCTATATACTGTCCGCACGTTGCAAGCAATCGCGCGCTGTATCATAACTTAACTAATTTCGCTCCCTAATTGGCTAACCTCGCTCTTTTTGCGCTATATAAGTATATGTTATAGCTATACAAATTTTTCTTTCTATAAAATTTTTGTTTTTCTTTTTGTGTCGAAACTATTTTTTTGTTTTTTTTTCTCTTAATATTTTGTGCTCGGTTCAAGAGAGAAGCAAACCTAACCTTATTAATCCCAAAAACCCTTCGCAGGCGCTCAATTAAAATGTTTATATATTCTACTCACATTTTAATTATTATTTTATGTGTTATGCCTTTTTTCACAAATGGTTACTAAAAACCCAAAATATTATTATTCGCTTGCAATTTTACATTTCATAATGGTCTCTTGCCGTTCCACAGATTCGCAGCACAGCCCTCAGGAGTATTCCTCCAGCGCCACCATCGCCCACAGCGTCTCGATACTGGGATCGTGACAGTCGCACAATAACATCGTCGGCACTCTCCTCGTCTCCATCATCGGCGACAAATAACATAGACGATGTGAGCAAGTCGAAGTCGAGCGATGAGAATAGCGAAGGTAAGTGTGTGGGAACGTGATGAAGAAGTGGTTGTGCTAAGGAAGAGTGTGTTGTGCGTGGCATTCAAGCGTAATTGGTGTGGGACATATTATTTATAAATGTAGATACTCATCGGTTTCATTATCAATATAATTGTGAAAATATCGAAATCGTTATCACCGTTATAATCGAGGTGGTTATCGATATATGTACATACATATATCGAAATGAATTTTTATCGTTTATCAATTTCTTTCGATACATGTATCCGCCTTAAAACCGATATTTTCATCGATTTATTTCTCATATTTATTATCGATTAATTTATCGATATCCTATTTATCGAAATTGAAAATATTTAGACATACATAAATATTCCTTTTTAATTTTATTTTGTACTTATCTATGGTCCGCTTCTTAATTAGATTTATGATCCCTTCTCCTCCCTAGTTAACTTTTGCAGCCTCGCTTAATGGTAACATAAATGAAAACAGACTTGCGAATCTTTTGGTTTTATACGAAATTATAATTTTAATATGATTTACCTTAAGTACGTAGTACCGTTTTTGTGGCTCCTCAAAAAATAATATCCGGCGATTATCCACTCCTGACACCCATCACAAAATCACTTTGGAACCCTCCATTGGCTCCTTGAAGAACCTAACTTTTTTTTGTAAACTTTAGTTTTCAATTCCTTTTTCCTTTGTCAGTCATATGTCTAGTAGAAATGTTGGCATCGGCGAAAGTTGTCGGAAAATTTGTCAAATATATATCACTTTTTGTCGCATTGCAAGAAAAAATTTTTGTTTACTTCTGAATGTTGTTTAGGGCCGAACCTGGTGTGATGTTAATTAACTCAGAAACCAAACTCTTGAAAGCCAAACAAAAAATTTACTAATCTTTAAACTTTATTGACTAGCTTAATAATATATTTTTAACTTTAAACTTCTTCTCATAGGTCTATGCGGGCTGAGAAATATCGGAAATACTTGTTTTATGAATTCTGTCATACAGTGCCTGAGTCACACCAGCGAATTGACAAAATTCTTGCGAACATACAATGGCACACGTTCCACCTCTTCGAAGGATCAACAAATCTTACAAGGTGAGTTTTGAGATTTAGCAGAAAGCCAATGTGAAAGTGTATTTCTTTTGTCTATCGATTTCTACAGAGTTTGCAAAGTTGATACGCGAAATGTGGACCAGCAATGTGCATAGCGTCACGCCTATGGATTTGAAGCGCGCATTTTCCCTAAAACATCGCATGTATAGTGACTACAACCAACAGGATGCGCAAGAATTTCTACGCTTCTTTCTCGATTCACTGCATTGTGCGCTGAATACAGGCGTGAAGGGTGAACACTTGAAAATCGACGATAACCTTAGGTAAGTGGTTGGTATACAACGTTCAAATATTTCTCCACCGAAAAAAAGAAAAAAATAATAAACATTTTTCAACCACAGCGACAATAAAAAAGCGGATCTAACATGGGAATGGTACGCCCGCCACGAAAACTCACTCATACGCGACCTTTTCGTCGGCCAACTGAAGAGTGCTTTACGCTGTACCAGCTGCGGAAATACGAGCGTAACTTTCGATCCGTTTTGGGATTTGAGTGTGTCGTTGCCATCATTGTCACGTTGCAAGCTAGAATCTTGTCTAGATCTGTTCATACGCGAAGAGGTGTTGGACGGCGATGAGATGCCAACCTGTGCGAAATGTCGCCAACGAAGAAGATGTACGAAAAGCTTCACCATACAACGATTTCCCAAATATTTGGTTATACGTAAGTGCAGAAATTTGTGTGGCGCTGTCGGTTGGTTGTCATTCGGACAATTGAAATTCTTATCGTTTTTAAATAGATTTGAAGCGTTTCTCGGAGACGCGCTGGAGCAAGTTATCGAATATCGTCGAATTTCCGACTGGTGAACGAGAATTAAATATGGGTCCATACGGTTCGAACCCCAACACGAATATATATTATTCATTGTATGCGATTTCAAACCATATGGGTGAGTTTAATAGATATTAGGTTAGGTTGTTTGCCAATTAGTATACGTATTAATAATATACATCCAGATTTGTTTACTATCCGGATATTCGAAGAACTGAATATAAAATCCTAGCATCCGGATATCCGTTAGTGAATAGATATAGATTATATAAGCATTTTTTTTTCATTAAATAATTAAAATCATATAATTTCGGTGAAATATCTCGAAGAACGAATCCAAGAAGAACGATTTGTTTTAATCGAAAAGATAGTACTTTAAATAACAATTAAATATCGACAAAACAAAGAAAAATGATTTATTTTTCGCGTACAAATAAAAATCAGTTCGATCGAAAAATTACAACTCCATTGCAGTTACCGCCATTTGTGTAATAAAACACTTAGCAAAAGTGTAAGCATCAAGATAATATTACTATAAGTCATGGCCGTTAGTCCTGGTTAGACATTTTTGTAAGATATCTGAAGCCAGAATCCAAGTACAGTCGTAATAAAATTCATATTGACAACACTTCACTCCTCTATTTGTTTTCTCCCAACAGGTTCTACCGCTGGTGGTCACTATGTGGCATTGTGTAAACACCCGGTATCAAGAAAATGGCATGAGTTTAACGATAACATGTACGTATTCTCCAGCAAACGTCTACCGGACGTCAGTTTCAATATTTTTTTTTTATATATTCTCTTTACCTGCAGTGTAAGCGACACGCTGTCCGAAAGTAATCTAGTGTCATCCAGTGCCTATATACTGTTCTATGAGCGAGTGTAAGCAATAATACTCGCGTAGTTACNAAAAAAAAAAAATATATATATATATAGCAACAAATACACTCACCAAAACTCACACAACCCCACCTCATCCCAAGCAACCAAACTCACTCAAAACCACTCGAAAAACTTATGTTTTATGTGCAATTGCGGACACAACAGCTACTAACCACAAAACCTGTACCTTAGAAAAATGGAACTGGCTATGAATGCTGCTACAACAACAGCAACAACCACAAAATATAAGCAGAGAGGGCAAAAGGATGGAAAATATTATAATGGGAAATTTCATCGAGATGATTTGAATAATACACGAGCGTTTGGTTGAAAACATGGCCGCGAGTGTTCAACACAAAGGCCTGCAACAAAACAATACGCGTATACATAAATCATTTATCTAAAAAACGTGCTACTTACCTACTCTTATCTTATTTTTTACCTTGTACTAACATCCATATACTATCATATATGCATATGTACATAACTACTAACTAAAATCCAAACAAAAAACTAAAACTATTTATGCTACTACCTACAGCTGCAGAAATTACTACTGTACGCGAAAAGCATATGTGATATGCAAAAAAGAACACAACTAAAACAAAAAATGTAACAAAAACATAAAAATTTGCCCCGTTTCCTACTAATACTACTACTGCTACTACATACTCTTAACTTGAAACCACACAAATATATAATCATTATGCAGCATGCAGCGTGCAACAGGCAACTTGCCAAATGCAAACCACAAACTCGTATCTCTCTAAAGCAGTTGGCCGGAGTACCTAATAGTGCGGCGCGATGATGAGTATTACACGCCAAAATTTGTAAATCTCTACGTGTAAATGTGCAATTTTCGATCGAGTCCAAAGATATATACTAATAGATAGATACTGTACTTGTATAAATGTATAACAAAGAACAAAATAACAAAAAATTATATGCTGATATATTAGAAATGATGATAAAGAAAGAAATTAAATTAAATAACAGTGTGTATAAGCGTTGAACTAAAAGCGTACCTTTTAATGAAACAGTTGGATCCTTTTATAAAATACTACACGTATGTGTTTATGATTGAGCCAAAAAGGAAATAAAGTTGTTTTTACAAACCTAGTAGGTTTCCAAAATCATTTATTTTTGAAGTTGACTATATTTCCTTTATTGGCACGGCTATTAAGTATCATCAAAAATGTATGTATGCATATTAGACAAAATTGTTTTTTATTTTAGTTTTCCAATTTAGGCATATATATATTTTTTTTTAATGAAGAAAAGTTGATAAAATGTGTCAATAACAATTGATTGCGCTTCATTTATTACTAACAAATATACACTAATGTAAATAAGAGTATGTTAAAAGGTGTAGCAAGAGCAAAATGGAAAAAAGTTCACTTAAATGAGTCGTTTATTTTGAAATTGGCGTAGGTCATTTCAGGCTGTTTGAGCTCTGTGAACACTTACCTTTATCTGAACGCTTCTGTTATTCGACTTCATTAGCCAAAGGTAAACTGTTTATGAATGTAGAACGATTTAATGTTAGAAGTACCACCATAGGCCAAGAGTTAGGAAATGACTTGTGCCACATTCAAAAAAATGCTTGAAACATATTGAAAACGACGGGCTGTGGTCCAGCTGTCAAATTATCTTAACACGTACTCTTATGTAGAAAATTATTTTGGCGGCGACAGAGCTACGCTACGACTATGGTTAGGGCCAGCTTAGATCTATTTGTATTTTTCCAGCGACAGATAAGGTTCTTCCTCTAAATTTATGCTAAACTCATACATATTTGTAGGATGTCGCTGCCGCGTTCAAAAAATGCATGTCTTCATCTACAAATCGTTTGGATAATGAAGCGCAGCTCGCCATTTTTAATGTGTACAGCACTTAAACGGCTCAAATAATGTGAATTTTTATGAACAATCCTTAGACTAGTACGCAGACAGGCATATTTGTATAATAAATTACATATTTATATGCACAGCTCCGATATAGACGATTTGTAATAAAGCTAACAAATTTTTTATTCAATAAAATGCAATGCAATTATGTTTTTAAGGTACATATGTATGTATGTATATGCATACAAGGAAAAAAAATAAAGCTAGTCCCAAAATGAACATATTAAACTTAAGAAAATATAAAACTTTAAATTAGTATATACAAATGAACCTTGATAAATTGCAGTAGACAAACGTAGCTAAAGCAGATAAATGAAATAAAAAGCATGCAACAGTTGGTAGACTGCAGCGCGAGACTAAGGTAAACAATCAAAAAAATTCAGCTTTCAAGCAAAACAACTAAAAAAAAGATTAAAAAATGTTAAAAAAAAATGAAATGAGTCACGGAAAATATGGCTACGAATAGCGATTAAAAGGCATCTTTCTTTGCCACAAAATTTTGTACAATACAAAGAAAAAATATTAATAAAATGCTACACATAACTAACAACTAACTAACAAATGTACATATGTATGCATACACAAGTATATGGAAATATGTATAACAATAACAACCGCAGTTGTTAAGTTCAGTGTTGGTAAATTAAAACCGATTTCCCCCTGAATGCCAAGCATATATTTTTTGGGGAGCGCAGTTTTGCTATTACCAACTACACATATATACATAAATTTATGTACATGTATAAATAAATGTTCAACACAACTTAACTGATACTGAAAACTAAAAACAATAAACGAAGTTATTTATAATATTCATAGCTAAAAACAAACAAAAAAAAAACAATTGCAAAGCCAAGAAATTTAAAATTTCTTCAAGCAATATTGAGTTGAAGTACGTGTCACGAATTTTTGTTATTTATTTTATGCTGCTGTTAATTTATTTATAGATGCAAACAAACATACATACTTACATGCACCTACCTATATATATATTTACAAATACATACATAAATTATTTATATCGATTAAAGTTAATTTTTGTGTGTGTTTTTGTGGTTATTTTATGTATCAAAAGCAATATTTTTTTGTGTTAATGATTTTTTATTTTGTTTAAAAATATTAAAACAAAGTTAAATAATTAAAAAATTAAAAAATTAAACATTGTTATAACTATTTTCAATAACTAAAAATGTTTTATTTATTTGTTTGTACAGACAGGTAGGCAGCAAAGCAGTTACATACTACATATTTATAACATAAAATCGTAGGCAGTGCAAAAGAGCTAAATACTACAATAGTTATACATACATATAAAAAGGAGCAGGACATGCGTCAACACATAAATTGTAATAAATACTAACAAAAATTTGTAATTAAAAGAAAAAGAACAGGAACAACAACATGACTAGCTAATAAATTAGCCTGCAACAACCGCAAATATAAGAGGATAAATTCAAATCAAGTCAAAAAAAAAATGTTTAAAGTGTAATATTTTTTAGTGTACTAAGAAAATTGCTACTTAAATCAGAAAAGAAGAAAACAAAGAAAAAAAAAACAAAGAAACAAATGAACAAAACAAAGGTCTTTCTTTCATTGAAAATATATTTAAAATACTAAAAGAAAAAAGAATGCATTTCATATTTTCCTTTCAGCGGCGCATTTTTAACACATTTCACTATGGCGGCCACCGTTTCTAAATAGCGTTCACATTCCGACTGGCAATGACAAAACTCTAAAACTCTAAGTGAAATAGCTTCTCTTCGGAAGCGCCGTTAAATTGTTGATCACTTCATTTGTGTGACAATATCAAGGCGAAAGTTCCAAATCGGAGGGTGAAGCTTGTCCAAGCACTTACATATGTAGCAAATGTTTTTTAAATTATTGACACAAGTTGAAGATACAAACATACCCATAGCCAGATTTCCACTTGGCATTTAATAGTCGTGTTCCCGTGGGTTATCCAGCTAATTTTTACGATTAATTCCCACGCGAACAATCTGGCGCGTTCTTATGGCGGTTAGTAGCACTAATTTTACATAGCAGAGTAGGTATTTGAAAAATTTTCTTCACTAAATGAGGAAAGGAGTAAATTTAAACAGAGACCGTACGGTTTATGGGCTTTGTAATAAAAATCGTAATTTAACCATTAAAATTTAATTCATATTTTTGCGATTAATTTTAATCGTTACTTTATGATTTTTAACCATTGTAATTATTTTATTTTTATTTTTGCGATCATTTCATAACCTTATTTTCCGATTTAATTTTATAGGTCCTAAACCGGCCATAAAAAGTTAAATTACAACAGTTAAATAAAAATCCAAAAAATAGCGCTTATTTTTCTCGAAAAAATAAAAAACAAAATTGAACGATCATTTCAGCTAAAAAAATACAGAAATGAAACAAAAAACCAATTTTGCAATGATTTGAAAATAAAAATCTGGGTATTTAATGTTTATTTTCGGTGCCTGTATTTAACCGAAATAATATTCATTTAAACAAATATTTAACATGAAGGGGAATTATTTGAAAGAAATTAAAATAATGGCAGAATATCTGTTTCAGTCATTTGTAAATGCCACGAAACCGTGCTGCCCAATTATCAGTGAAGCAAAATAAACTGACCGATTTTGCAATGATTGAACCAGGATCACAGCATTATTGTTGTAATTCCGTGAAGAATTTTTGTCTAGATCCCGATCATTGACCACGGGAACAGAGCGAATGATAAAATTTGGTATTAAAAAATTCGGATGTCATTGCGTTACTCAAAATAATAATTGAATTCGTTTCCGTATGACGTTTTTGAAAGCGCAAAATTGTTTGTAATTTTAATGCCTTGTGAAAATGCGGCATTAGTCTGTGTTGGAAAGTTTCAGTTTAAAATATATATATTTTTTTTTATCGCAGTGTAACGATGATCTATCTCGGCAGCCAGCTCGAAAACGCTCTATCTCAAAAAACTTTCCAAGAACGCCCTATTTAAGAGTTCGTTTCAAAAAACGCTCTATATCAGCACATTTTCAATACATTTTGAAGTGAGATAGGGCGTTCCTCTACTAAATTGTGAGATAGGGTGTTTTTTCAATAAAATTCTGAAATAGGGCGTTCTTGGAAAGTTTTTTGAGATATGGCGTTTTCGAACTGGCTGCCGAGATAGGTCGATCTTCCACTCAGCATCGAAATGCAGGTGTTCCAACATTCATTTCAACTCAGTGTGAAAGCGAGCTCGGGAATCGGCTAATCTTCACAAGCGTTAGTGCTGTGAATCCTTTTTGCATACAAAGTAGTAGAATTTCAATTTAGATTTTAATTTGATAACCCCGTTGAAAGTGGAGCAATGCTTTCAACTGGCCAGTTTTACACGGTGATGTCATTGGCGGTGGCAGTTGTCACCCAGTGCATTACTTTGAGACTAGTTTCTAACCAGTTCCGTTTTGGACAGTTTTTTATAAGGAAACTTTTTTAAGCTTCGATTTTTGTATATTTTTTCCGTTTTTTTCTTTTCTTTTACAGATTTCATGTTTGTTACATATGTATTTTATAAAAATAAAAAAAAAAATATTGTAAGCGGCACGCAACCATTTAAACCCATTTAATCTGAAAACTCACAACTGCCTCCGCCGCGATTTGAACTCGCGACCAATGATGCTTGAGTCGGAGGTCTTCTCGCTGAGTTACTTTCATTTTGTATGAGGAGTGAGAATTTGTACACTCACATACACCGCAAGTTTCAACTGTCCCGCTCTGTAGCCGTTCTGCACTAGTTCAGAGATAGTTCTGAAATATTTAGTTCGGAACTAGTGCTTTGCCAGACTGTCTATAAATTTTTCTGCAGGGTATTAGCAAAACTACTCACACAAAATAGTGAACGAATACGAATGCAAGTATGGACAATCCTGTATACTAGCGAGAACGAAACAGCATATTTTAAAAGGACATGTAAAGTCACACTCACAGGAAAGTATCCATCAGATTTTTCAAAATCGCCGTAAAATTCTGATGTATAATCTGAGGGGTTAATACTCCTAGTGTATACTTAGAGGATTCATCAGCGATCAGTCAGTTGTCCCGAAGGGTATTACCATTATCATCACCATTTCATTGCCATTACCAATCCAATTACAATTACCATTTCAATTACCATTACCAAACCAATTATAATTACCATTTCGATTACGATTACCATTACCAATCCAATTATAATTACCATTTTAATTGCCATTACCAATCCAATTATCAGCCTCATTGCATAAGTTGTAAATTAGGCTAAATTGTACGACTCGACAACATTATCATTGTCTATCGTCGTGCTGAAGAAATAAGTAAACGACGAAAATCATCGACAACTATGTAGTGCTGCCAAGTTTTTCCGTTTTAATACACTAGTGACTAGTCGAATCGAAAATTTAGTTTTCGGTACAATTCGACTCTCGGAAAACGGCTTGCATTCGACACGACTCTCGCAATGACTCTCTCATATAACCAGTGTTGCCAGGTCTTCGGCATGAGAAAACGTCCCTCTTGGTCTGAAAAAAACGTCATTTTCTACCCAAAAACGTCTTTTTCAAATGTATGCACAAAGAATTGTTCTTATTAAACTTTCATTATATACAAAGGTACATATGTACGTAAGGTATATTAAAATGTCATGTGCTCACATTTAAAATTCATTCTAAACTGGTTTGAGATCGTTAATATAAAAATCATTTTATACATACACTTGCCAAGCCATCGATTTCGGCTGTTTCTTTTTTGGTTTATTTAATGTTTATTATTTTTCCATAAAAGCCTAGCTCATTATATAACAAACAAAATATAAATCCACGTTTCAAACTTTGTGCAAAAATTATAAAAAATTAGCAAAATATCAGCTAGATTTTTATCTTTTTATTCAGATTTTTTAGAATTTTTTTGAGTATGCAGATTGATAGCCCATTAAATTCCAAGGCAATAATGTGCAAGTTTTAAGGTGCTAAAGAATCGCGTTGATTTTTAATATATATTTTTTTTTTCTTCTTGTAAACATTTAGTTAAGTGTTCTGTTGTCGAAAATGCAAAATTACGTTCTGTTAATATTTCAGCCTTTTTACGTTCATTACATTTTAAATAAGGGGCCCCATGCGACTAATTGTGTCATTTTCTTTATGCGCTTAAATAAGGGTTAAGTAATCTGTGTCGAAAGAATAAATATTTTTTGAAGCAGCTACTGCAAAAAACAAAGCTTGTAANCTTGTAAACATTTAGTTAAGTGTTCTGTTGTCGAAAATGCAAAATTACGTTCTGTTAATATTTCAGCCTTTTTACGTTCATTACATTTTAAATAAGGGGCCCCATGCGACTAATTGTGTCATTTTCTTTATGCGCTTAAATAAGGGTTAAGTAATCTGTGTCGAAAGAATAAATATTTTTTGAAGCAGCTACTGCAAAAAACAAAGCTTGTAAAGATTTATTAAGAAAATAATCCAAAATCAGTTCTACTTACAAGACTTATAACAGAGAAAAATTGCTGGGAAGTTAAAAAATGTCATTTTTTACACAAAAAACGTCCAAACGTCAACAGGATATAAAAAACGTCCAAATGACGTTAAAAACGCCAACCTGGCAACGCTGCGTATAACTATCATTTCAATTACGATTACCATACCACTATCATTAACTTTATGCTATTTGTGGCCTAGTAATTTTAATTATTAATTTTATTTGAACTTGAGACCAGTTGTTTTTTTAATAAAATTTGCTTCACAAAAACGGGTCTCAAGTTCAAATACTATTAAGTATGAACACTATTATTATATAAATACATAGATCTTTCTCTCGAATACACCAAGGGCCGCATCATCGACCGTTGACATTGTCATGAACAAAGAGTAAATCCACAGAAATAGCTTTCCATAGTGCATTACTACAGATAGAAAATTACCCTACATCATGAAGAGTTTACTATGTGGGTATTCCTCGATACTTGTGAAGGCTTCAAGAATATCTGCATAGAGGCGTTGCTGGAGGGTTTTGATTCTATCAAGGTGGCGTTCTTCCTCTGCTGATGTGGTCAAATTTTTAGCGTTTTCTCATTTTTTTAATCTTTAATCTCGTTTGATCTTTCTATTTTAGGCCCGCTGCATTTTTTCTTGTCTTCAAAACCCCACTGCAAGACGTAATGCCCTATCAAAAATGAAAATTCCGTTTGCTCGACGCTACCATGGCGTTATTGTGGGAAGCTTTATACAAATTGTATGGCCATGAGACTTTTTGACAGTTACTTGACGCGCCAATTAAGGGTTGACTCCAACACTCCCAATTGTAGATGGCACACTATGGATTGGTGTACTTACGAGTCACTGCCTCTCGCAGCTAAGGTAACAAGTGAAAAGTGAAAGAAATGCCTTCTTCTTCGTCTGGATCTGGCAATTTGTCAAAATAAAAAATGTATTACGATTATCTACGATTATCCATCTACTCTTGGCACCATTATGGGCAAGTAATTGGTCTATGTTGTTTCTTCTCGATCGTGTTAACTAACATAAACCTAAAATTCAAACAGTTTTAATTCCGAAAGGCCAATATCAATAATTAAAAGCTTTGACTTAATACATTTAAGAAAAATGTCTGCGATTTCTAAAATTAATTTTACGAAAAAGATGTTTTTAAAGAAAAAATTTATTAGGTTAGTAAATGTACAGGCTTAAACTTGTGACCCGACTTCGAATTTATATAGGCATAAGAAATTATTAAATATTGGGCCGTATGAATAAAAACTGAGCAATTGCTTTTTCTTAAAATTTCATACCTGTTACTTCACTTTTGTTTGAATAAATCGAGTAAAAGGTCTGAAATATTAAGAAAAAGCAATTGCTTATTTTTATTCATACGGCCCATTGTTTTCAGCATTGCTACAGAAAATTTTTTACAAAGATATACCTAACAAACGTGAAGGCATTAAGTAAAACTTGCTTATCCATCGCTTATAGCTCGTCTCTCAATTTTGTTTCACGCTGCTCTGCCGGAATATGGGCTTTAAGTTGGCGCCAGAAGTCCATGCGATTCCTATAGATACCACGTTCCATTTGTAGTATAGTAAACTCTTCCGGTATTTTGTGTCCCAAATGGGCATAATTCACGGGATATCCAGTCACGGGCTCCCAATGAGGAAGAGCAGATTGCGCAGGCGTAGGATTGCTGTGAAAATGATTTGAGTAAGTAACAAAAAAAAAAAAAAAACTAAACAAGAATCAATATTTTGAAGACGCACCTTTCTGTGGCAAAATTCACCCACATTTGAAGTATAGCCTCACGCAATTGTAAGTCATTTGCAGTTGGCGAAGCGGTTATGAATAGTTTGAGTCCCAGCGGAAAGAGATATTGCAATTCATCAGCGTGGCAGACACCTGCCGTATATATGCATGTAGATATGTTAACTTGTTAAAAATGTCACAATAAAATAGCTATCTTTACCATAATAATCTTCGCTTCCACCATTTATAATTTCCGTCAAACTCGCTGGACCGCGATGTTCAAAGAGATATACGTAGAAAGGTGGCAAATCTAAGGAGCTCTGAGCCTCCACTCGCTGGCGGATATACTCATCAATACCAGCTAAAAACCAACCGTCCGAGTGGAGCTGTCAAACAAGACAAAGGTTAGCGGTTTGAACCTGGTGAATTTATTTTCGAAAAATACTTACGTTGGTAAGGTTTTGATGATTGCGTTTGCCATAGTTATGGCCTTCCTTCAAGTAGAGCTCTTCAATCTTTCGCGTAATCTCATCACGCACTTCTGGCCGATGATGATCGTATTGCAGTTCGATTGGTAGAACTGTATGAAATTGTTGCTTATATTCTTCCAAGAGGCCAGGCAGATTGAGTAACGGCGCAGTTTTAAGCAAACCCTCCTCGGAGGTGGCGCCAATCATGAGTGGTAAGGAAAAACCATGTGGTACCACGCCATCGCGCGGTAAAACGGTGAGGAAGGCGCCCTTATGTGTTGGCTCCACGACCGGTTGAAATGGCACCATAGGATCGAATTGGAATTCCTAAATGAGGAAAAACAAATGAAAGCGTGCATTTAGTTTTTGGTAAGTTATTGGCGGGTAAATATTTCGACGACTAACAAAAAATTCATAAAGCGTAGCGACAATATCGCTAGCTTTCTTGGTGCGTAGACAGCGCAGTATTTTTTGCCATTTCTCCGCTGGATTACAGCCAACCATTTGCGCCGCCTCTCGAGCACGCTTTGCGGCAACACCCTTGTGCTCTGGCTGTGCCCATGGATTGAAATAGGTACCCGATTGAACGATAGCTCTGTGGAATAGACCTGAAATTGCATTTGTATTTGTACGTATGTATAATTTTTCGATGAATTATATGCCTTCATACCTTTCGTTAAGTCTGAGTACAATTGATATGTTACGCTAGCACCACCTGCGCTATTACCGAAAATTGTCACACTTTTTGGATCTCCGCCGAATGCGGCAATATTTTTCTGTACCCAACGCAAAACTTCCACCTGATCTTTCAGTCCGAAATTACCAGGACAATCTATAGTTTCAGTGCTAAGGAAACCGAGTGGACCCAAACGATAATTGCCCGAAACGAGTATGATATCATGATCGAGCAAATAATTTGGCGGATAGAAGCTGCTTACGCCAGAGCCACTTACAAAGCCACCGCCATGTATATGCACCATAACCGGCAGAGGTGTCGAAATTTTGGGTTCCTTTCAAGAAATGTAATATTTTTGTGAATATTATGGGATGGTAATAGACAGTAACTCACCTCTGGAGCGTACACATTTAGGTAGAGACAGTCCTCACTGCCGACGATTTCCGATTGTCGTCTGAAAGGATCACGATGCATGCATAGTTCTGAATCTTGTATAGCCAGTCGTTCTCCCGACCAAGCGCCATATGGCACAGGCGGCTAAGAGAGGGGAGCAAGATAAAAAAAAAACGATAATAGGTAAGTGTGTATGTATGTAGTAGCGAGGGCTAAAAACACAACACGAAAGCGGCGAGATAAGAATGCATGTTCTATTTAAAGCTATAAAATTTTCGCACTTGTTTTAAATCTTTTGTGTGTTTGTCTATTTTATTAGATTAGATTAAATGCCAAATGAGGGTGCATTTGTTTGGTTTTCACAATTGCATGCTCACCTACATACAGTGACTCAATCAAGTGACCAAGTGCTGATTTCTTTTTTTCGTAATGTTTTTCGAGCTAAATCTTGTTGGCTGGTGATTAATATATACATAAATCACAGTTTCAAACTTTATTGCAAAATATAGGATAATTTAACACATTTTCATCAAAATTTCAACTTTTTTTAATCTAAATCTTTACAACATTTTTGGGTATGTAGTTTTAGAGTCAATACAATTTTATTGCAATGAAATGCGAGTTTCATCAGACTAAAACTGCATGGGCTATACAACTGCATACCCAAAAATATTCTAAAGATTCAGTTTTAAAAGATGAAATTTTGATGAAAATTTTTTGAATAAAAAAAAATCAACACGTTGTCACTTGTTTGAGTCACTGTATGAATATATGTACATATTTACAACATGTAAATACATATTTGAAGACATTTTTGTAAAGATGCACTAACACATTACGAACCTGCAACCATTTTATTAGTCTTAATTCATTTGCGAATTTAATTTAATCAATTTAAGTTGATTTAATTTAATTTAGTTTAATTTGATTTAATACAATTTAGTTGGTTTAGTTTATTTTTAACTAGCCGGCCACGGATGCGCGAGGCTCCGCCACGCGCTGAGTGTATGCATATGAATGTCCATTTACGTATCTGGAGAAAAAAATCATATGTCATCATGTACTTCGTTTATTAGATACATAAAAAAGCTTGTCTTCATCCGTTCAGTAGCGTGGTTAAAATATATCTCGCCTTTTCTTTATACTATGTATAGATGTACATACATACAGTGCCGAACAGAAGTATTGGCCCAGTGAATTTTTCGCAATATATGCAACGTTTTTTATTCTAATTTACTTTCGATAATTTTTTATAAAAATATTGTTAATTCTACACCAGAAAACATAATAATAAAATCTCTAAACTTTGTGCAAAACTCAGGAAAATTCATTAAATTTGCACACTAATTTGTAACTTTTTATTCAGATTTTTTAGTAAAATTCTAAGTATGCAGTTTTATAGCCCATTCAAATTTAGTATAACAAAGTGCAAGTATGAAGTCGTTAGAAAATCGCGTTGATTTTTTAACTATATTTTTATAAAAAATTATCGAAAATAAATTAGAATAAAAAACTTTGCATATATTGCGAAAAACTCAATGTGCCAATACTTTTGTTCGTCACTGTATATTCAAATTAGCGAGGGAGAGAAGAGGAAAGAAATACGCGAAGAAACTAAACAAAAACAGCGAAGTAAGCGTATTTTATTTGAATTTTGTGTTTCAAATATTTTTGACTGAACACTTAAGAACAATTATAGTGGGTGTATGTACATTAGGGTGGTCCAAAATAAGTATGGTCGGAATTTAATCCTCTCACCCCCTAGGATTGTTCTATATCGAAAAAAGTATACCCCTTTTTTTAATTTGGAAATCAAAAAATATTTAGAAAGTTTTCCATTTATTTTATATGGGGAAAAAACAACTTTTCGTAGAAGTGGTAACGAATAGTTAAAAATCAATACTTTTCTACCAGAAAACTCTGCTTATCTGCATGAGATTCCCAATAATAATATCAATTTTTTATTTAACCATTTTTTCATTTCAACTATAATTTATAGGTCTGCCAAACACCCACAAAACCCCGAAAAATGCAATGGGGCGACCAATAAAAAATCTTAGTATTAAAATTTGGTTAAATAAACAATGGGGTATTATTGTTGAAAGTCTCCTGAAGAGAACCAGAGTTTTCCGATCGAAGAATATTGACTTTCAAGAATTCTATACCATTTCTACAAAATATATTTTAATATTTTTTGATTTCAAAATAAAAAAATAGGGGTATACTTTTTATCGATATAGAACAATCCTAGGAGGTGAGAGCATTACAATTCTGACTTTACTATATTTGGACCACCCGAATGTACATACATGCTCACATATGCAAACAAAAAAAGCATCAGCTCCTTACGCTTTTTTGAATACAGCACCTAACAAAAAAAAACTATTTTGAAGAGAGAGCGCCTTCACGTATAATATCTTTATTCATGATTATTGAACATCTGAAGGCCATGCCTTTTCACTTCACCTCTCGCTTTTTGTATTCATACCATGTTCGAATGAAATAGTAATTTTTAAATAGATGGCAACCCTACTCAAAAAGTAATACATTATTGAACATCTAAGAGCTGAGCCATTTTATTTGACACCCCATTTCTGGTAATCCAACGAACATTGCGGGTCTTATAATTTTTTAGACAGGTGGCTACCCTATAGGAACTCGAAGGTCTAAAGATAATATTCCTATCGATACAGATTATACTTAAAAAATTTCCTCTAAATCCGTTCAGTGGCGTGGTCAAAATATCTCAAATTTCCATTTCTACTATGTATAGAAGATAGTAAGTTTAAATAGGTGGCAACCCTACTTGAAAAATAATAAAGCTTTTGTACACGCTAAGGCCATGCACTTTCATTTGTTATCTAATTTTGTAATCCAACAAACGGCGAAAATCTTTTAACTTTTTAATAGGTGGCAACCCTACTTAGAAAAATAATACATCATTGCGCATGTAGAGGTTAAGTCTTTTCGTTTGACAGTGATGGTACAGAACTGATGCCTACGCTTATTATGATTGAATATAGTATTTTTATTAACATGTGGCAACTCTATTAAAAAAAAATATCAGTGCTTTTCTAGAGGCCTATCCCTTTTATTTGACACCTCATCTTTTGTAATCCAACGAACGGTGCGGATCTTATAGTTTTTTAGACAGGTGGCAGCCCTATTAAAATTCTAAGTAAAAAAAGATCCCTCTCCTGTCGATACAGAGTATATTAGAGAAAATCTCGTCAAAATCCGTTCAGTAGTTTTCGAGATTACCGCATTCAAAGAATCTCGACTTTCCTTTATGCTATGTATGTATAGATTAAATAACAAAAATTTTAATGTATTTTATTTTATAAACTTTTTTATGTATTTGTTTCATTTAATTTATGATTATTTAATTTACTTTATATTATTTTATTTTATTTTATTTTATTTTATTTTATTTTATTTTATTTTATTTTATTTTATTTTATTTTATTTTATTTTATTTTATTTTATT